ATAAGAATTTTTGAATAAAATACAAATACTGCAGTTTTTTTTTAACCGAAATCTTAAAACATCTTTCCATGCGGGCGACAATTTTATTTGACTACTTCCTGCCTTGATGTTTTTATTCTTTATTTAATATAGCCTTTCCTATTTTATCTATTTTACATGTACAAAACGTTCACACTGAAACAGACCTTCAAAAATGTGCATCTTTTATAAAAAAAAATACGCAATAAAGTGTAATTTAGGCGTGGTTTACAAAAGTACGAGTTTAAAAAAGGACGAGTTTAAAGTCCGCGATATCTTCGAAGCGGAACACAATATGTAACCAAGGTACCACATCTTTCAACCATGGGATGAATGCAAGATAAATCTGAAATTCCAATATCATTTTAACCATTTTCCGGTAAATATTATTGAACAATTTAAGTAAATGAGAATCAGGCTTAGAACACAGCTCAACATTTATTTTAAAGGAACTCGATCTTTCTTCGATGCGAAGGGGTTTGCAGCAGCAGGAGCAGCACCACCCACAACAACAACAATAATTATCTTTAATCATGCAAAATTAAAAAATAAAATCTGTTCATTTACCTTCTGTATTGAAAGTTTCGTGCTGATAGGCTACATTAAAGTTTCGTGCTGATAGGCTACATTAAAGTTTCGTGCTGATAGGCTACATTAAAGTTTTGCTCGACAACGACAGCTATCTTGACTAATTCTTCAAAGCAGACAAATAAATGACGAAAATGGGCGCAGTTAAGTTTGGACAAGTACCTTTAATAATAAAGCATCAAACTCTGGTTAATTTTTGCTTTAATATGTGTATTATTCTCATTGAGAATATCATAGCGGAAATTAAATTAATCATATAATCATGCAGATATTCCAATTAATTGCAGAAAATGCCCAATTAGCGTTAAAATAATACGGATTTATATGATTCTTTGAATTTCGTTTTCGTTTCAACCAATAAATTTTCCATAGAAAAAAGTAAAAACATTGTCGAAAACAGCTGCACTTGCTTAAACCATCCCCCATTAGTGATTTAACGACACTGTTGACACTTTAATATTCACTCGATTTTTTGTGTCGATTAAGAAAAAGAAACGTTTTAAAATATTTCAGTTCGAAATGTGTTTGCAAGGTGGCAGATGTCTCAAAACTTATCTTAAAAGATAACTTTTTTTCAGAAGCCAGAGAGGCTGGTCAACAAAACATTAATGCAATATATTTTTGTTTATAATGCATTTTGTGTGTCTATTTTGTATCGAAGAAGCATTTCTTTGCGGTGTAATGTTCTTATGTCTAAAGTAGTGCGACACATATAATAGAGAGCATGATTTTATTCTCCGGAGAGAATAGAACATTCACTGAAATGATATTTATGACTATATTCTTTGTTCTTTATATTCTTTGTATGGTTATACTTGCACATATAAATGTAACTCCTGACATAATATAATATCTTTTACAAGGCTTATGGGGGTATCTTTTGATTTAGACGACGAAGACTAGCCGAACTTCAAGAATCGTTCCTACTTTACCAGTTATCCGTGATAATTTATAGTGATATATTGGTGTACAATCGTTGCGATTTCATGAACGTCCGGAATGAACCGTGGTAGATCGTGTCCAACTACAGTAATGAACTGAAAATCGTGTAATACTGGTGTCATACTGGTGTCGTACCGCAAATGTTTGAGGTACCGCGTAGGATCCATCTTGCACCAGCGAATTCTGGGGTAATGGAAATATACGGTCAGGCGATTTCTGTAGAGATCGAGGTATTGTGCAACAACCGAAATTATTCGGGGCTACACCAGTATATTTGCGGTAAATGTTTAATAAATATATAGGTACCAGATGTCCATGCCCTGTTTAAAAGGCTTGTCAATTACATAAATAATCACACGAGCAGAAAAAGTTCAAACCGTACAAATATATCAAATACCATTCATTCTTAACAGGTTTTACAAACACATTTAAATTAACATTTATTTTGGATATGTTGCTCAGTTTATATATCAAACACTGAAAACAAAATACTTCTTTTTACCCTACACTGGACACTTGGCAGAATGATTCGGCAAAACTGTACAAAACAAATAAATAATTTTCAAGCGCCATTCAACTGTAATGAAACAACATTTATTCACTAACAATACATGTACAAGTGTAAACATAATGGACAATTAACCATGTCAAAGCCTACAGGGAACATGACTTGTAACAATTAAGATGAACTATCAAGGCTAGAAAGTTTTAAAATGAGCAAGTTACTGAGGCATGGAAATAAGGCCAACAAATACAAGATATCATGATCACCCAAGTCGCTCAAAAAATATTGAAATCTTATAAGTCAGTGTTTGCAAGATTTGGAAGTTTTACGCCAGTTCAATGCAGAATGGAACCAAGTTTGAACATTTCCTATTATTGTAGGATTAATATTGTTCAACACATTAGCCAAGCTTTAAATGTACATCACAGTAACATGTTATCAAACGTTTTGAGGTGATCACACTATATCGAGGTGATCACACTATATCTTACGAATATGTTTTTAATCTTAAAATATCTGGTTGTCCTCGAAAAAGACATTTCCGGTCAGTTTTTGGTAATGCCGTTTCGGTTTTTGGTAATGCCGTTTTATATCGTTCATGGTGTAGGATATATGTTTATTAATTTAAGACACAGTGATTACGATGGTCAATGCTACAAAAACAGCATCGTAGAAACACTTATTCTCCACGTGTTTTCTTTGCATCATCATAACTTCTATAACTTAATAATAAATAGAAACTGAAAGTAAATGAGCCGCGTCACGACAAAACCAACATAGTGGGTTTGCGACCAGCATGGATCCAGACCAGCCTGCGCATCCGCGCAGTCTGATCAGGATCCATGCTGTTCGCTTACCAACACTATTACAAGTGGAGAAACTGACAGCGAACAGCATGGATCCTGATCAGACTGCGCAGATTCGCAGGCTGGTCTGGATCCTGCTGGTCGCAAACGCACTATGTTTGTTTTGTCGTGACGCGGCTCAAATGTTGATTGCCTATCTTTATCATATTGGTCTGATTTACTACATTTAGCATGTTCTTTAATGGACACTCCAAACAAAGACAATCATTAATGACTGCATTTTTTGTTTTCAAATAAACATTTACATGTTTGAGTCACCACATTCCTCTATAAAGACCACCTTGTATGCTTTCCTAGACTGGTCGATGAAGTTTGAAGGTATGTATGTAACGGCCCTATATGGCCATTTCAATATTACAATATTCAATGTAATCTTAATGTTTATTTTAATATATGAGTGACAGTACTAAAAGTGCACTTCTTCTTTAAAAAAATGGCATGTTAATAACTATATCCAGAATCAAAAATAGATGTATAAAATGTCTCTGCTCAATCGAACTTCATCAAAATAAAGTTTTAACATTTACAATACGGAAAGCCACAATCTGGCATTTATTCTGACAATATAATTAAAGTTAAGTTGAATAATTTCCTGTTCTTGGCGGTATTTATGTAAATGTACCTTTTTTTCTAGATATAGACTGATAGCCAATGATTTAACGCTTTACCAAACTTTATTTTCATAAAAAAACATCTATGTAACGCTTCAGCTAATGTGATAAGGGGTCACGAGCTTAAACACGGTTGCAATAAATATCTAACAATCATGAAAATCATTCAAGCTTGTTTCATAAAGTATAACTGTATGAAATATGTGTTTCTAAATAATATAAAAACGCAGTTTTATGTAGGCTGTTCGCCTGTAAAAACTATAAAATCTTGCAAGCATGAAGTTAGAAAAGAAATATAATCACCCTAAATTCAGTTAAAAAATAACTAAAAGGTCAAAACGTAGAAAAATAAAACGACTAATTTTTAATAAGATGACAATTTTATGAACCAATAGTTTCAATAACTTGACTAATACAGATTAACATCTTTTCATGAGATTTATAAGCTACATTATAGTGTGATAATTTTACAAATATCTCAGTAAAATTGTTGTTACAGTTAACTTGCCTTATGAGCATAAACTATAAAAATACTTAATCAGAGCCAATCAGTATTTTAGGACCACGCCAAAATGACTCTAATCTCATATTCTGTATAAGGGACGCAACTTCTAGAACTATCATACAACTAATCTACACATTACTGCCCCTTGCTATACTTTCCATTGGACATCAAGATAGTCATAGTCATGGTGGCTCTGGATTGCTCACCTGCGATTCGTGATAGAAGGTAAGCCACAAACGAAATCACATTGGGTTTATTTTCTAGGTCGAATGACTTCTTAAAATATTTGCTATACGATGCTTTCCGGCAATATCCAAGCTCTTGACATTGAAGACTTATTGTTTTACAATGAAAGCCAATATAAACTAAGGGACCCCAAGTTTTGACCCCAGAATGAGATGCTTGATTTAAAACTTTTAGAGTACCAAAAAAGTGATGCTCCATCCAAAATACCTACGTTTTGGGCATCGTTATTTCAGAGATTTTTGCTGATGTCAACTATGCAGTGTAACATGTCAAATATCTAAGCTCTTGGCAATTTAGTTCCTAAAAAGAATTAAAATGTATTTTCCTATATAAACAGCCGTTAAGTGACCCCAGGGACAGGAATTATATTAATCCTTGAAGAGGACAACGATGTGATGCTAAATATCTAGTCTTAGAATTTTACCAAGATTTTAAAAACATTTATACTTCACAAGTCTAGCTTTGTAAACTTAGCAACTCCCAGAGTAGGATTATTTTGTACTTGCCTAGTATTTGTAGAGGTCAACTAGGCAATGATATGTCAGATTGACTTGCAAAAGTTGGTAAGAGACACAGCAATGTCTGTCTGTCCATCTTATAATTAGACTAAATTACTGTCTTATAACTGAGTCCATTCTTAATTTACATGTACATTTAAAAAAACTCGTTCTCTGATTTCAGTGAATATAATTGTCCATAAAAAACAACAAAAACACAAATTATAGCTTGCACATAGACCATTTTTAATATAAAATTACACAAATTATAAAAACATAGATACATGTAATTGAAATAAAACTGTTGAACACTTTATTCTTATTTGAACACAATGTGGTATTTTCAAATTTGAACACCTTTTGAACTTTTTAAACCTCAAATTTTGTATTTAACCTTAATTATTCATCAAAATATTGAAAAGATTAGTTTCATTATATCTATTTTTTTCTCTTCAAAACAATCGTGAATGAAAACTTACTTAAAAGTAGAACTAAAACTAAAGGAAGATAAAAACATTTAAAATAACAAACATAGCTACTATTTGCAAAGAATCAAATTAAACTTTTTACATATTTTTTTTTTTGGCTTATAGCTTTTCTATCAACATATTTAGACCTTATACAAGAAATACTATAAATTTAAGGGATTGTTTCTACGACAACAGGACCATCATCAACATTTTACTACCTGCTTGCTCAAATACAAGTTATTTGCCTATATATGGAAAAGACCCTGAAAAACATGACTTCATATGACCATACTCTGCTCAACATGTAACAACAACAAAAACAGAAACGACAGAAAAAAATACAGAAATTTTCAGTAAAAGATTAATAGTTTAAATTGTCTAAAATCAAATGGTTTGCCCTATTTCAAAACTAAGCTGAGTGTACAATCATCTAAAGTTTCCATTATTTAAATTAGTTCAGATTATACTGTTCTCCTCGACACTTTTGTCAGAAAAATTTAGGTTAACTTTGACCAATGTGAAGATGGTCCATGGAAAGAGTTATTATACCCCGAGATTAGAAATTGTCTACCATCATATGTGATGCTAATGAGCTAATTTGTTCTACAGACTGCAGTGAGACAAAACGATTAAAAATTTCTTCTAATCAAAGGCAACATAATTGTGTAAATCACAAAATAACCTGTTGATCTCCTGTCAGTAAGACGTTTTGTAAACACTATTTTCTATATAACGGTCACTTTAGAAATTAAATCAGGTAATTTTCATTTAAAAATGAATCTGGGCATGATCAACTTATTAGCTGGATTTTGTCAAAATCACTTTAAAATTATAAAGCAACATTCAAATTGGTTGAAAATCTCAAGCTATAATAGGAACACCTCTGTAGAATTTATGACTGATTTTCCATAGATAAGTTATACAGCTTTAATACAATAAAACCTTAATGTTCTAAGAAAATATTGGTAATGTTGAAATGATTCAGTCAAACACTTAACAAAAGAGGTTCTCATTATTAAATGACATGACTTCAGTCTCAAGCCAAATTTTAATGGCTGACTTATGTGGCAATGAATTTCTATACTCATTCGCCCAAACTAATTTACAAGCAGTTTATAGCAATATTTTTTAATGAATGTACACTGCAGATCTATGATTGAAAAATTTAAATAACCAAAAAAAAAATATATATAATATTCTTCTACAGTAGGTAATGCTATGCAAGTGTTAAAAGTTTCTTTTAAAATTAATACATAAACAACAAATTAAATAGAGAAATACATTAAATAGTAAAATAACAATAGCAGTACATGTTTATAACATATCACATCTCTAAACTCTAGACTGCACCATAAACCTCAACAAGAGAAAAATGCTACAAATAATATGAATTCCCGTCTTATCAGCAGTTTTCACATTACTTACAATTAAGGCTTCTAAAAAAATGACAATGCTAGATGATGTAAAATACTTCAAATGTCCTGACAAATAAAACACAGATTCAAATTTTACCAATTAACAACAATTTCTATATGAAGGTAAAATTTCAATTTACAGCATTGTTTTGTGTTATTATTAACAGTGAAATTGTAAAGTAGGGGCAAGGTTTTTTGAACATCCATGTAGTATATGACACTGTTTTATGGAAAAAACCACTATGTCATGTTAATATCCACTGTACTTCATAAAATTACACACAGCCAGCTAGGACTATGATATTATGTACAATACATGTATATGCTATAATAAAAAATGTTATGTTTGCTTTTTGTTTGTATAGCTTTTAACCTGCAGAGTGGCCATAGCGCCTATATATAACATACAGCTAGATCTATGCTAGAAATGAAGCTAATCCCTGGCACATTGTTATCTGTAAGAACACATCAGTTAAAGGGATTCTGATTCAGCAAACAGCAGCTCTCTGTGGCACTACATGTACGGCAGCAGAAAAAGAAGGCACTCTAATCTTTCTAGATAACTGTTCTACTTAATAATTGGGGCAGGTCTATTTCTGCCAATCAATTCACTGAAGTAACTGTGCCCCAATGCTGTTTTGGCAGAAATTCTCTGGCTTGGCTCATATTTCATCATTTTCTGAAAAATTTATTTTTTGTTACTAATATTGATAAATACATTTAAGCTTGAATGTTTTAATGAGAAGAATCTTAGTAACCTTTGAGTATATGGGTACTACCTGATCATCCATTTGTAATTATGTCTGGGGTTGGTAATCTTGTAAAAGAAAATCAAGATAAGGTTTATTGAAACACTTAACTGTAAACAAAATTGCAGAGGGACATAATTATACAAAACCTGGTGTACTATAAACAGATTCAACCTTTTTGTAACTAATTCTCAGCATAAACTTATGCATAACATGACATGATGTTATTTTCTCTTTCAATGCATACACACTACAGAGTAACAAGAAATGTGTTGCTTTTATAACTGAATTAAATCCTTTTATACACAGTCACCAATAGAAACCCATGCAAGCAACAATTCCTTAGAGTTTTGGTGATATTATAAAGTTTTGGCAGATTTGAGTAATTGACAGTGATTTCCACATTCCTGAAAAATAACCGTTTCTTTGTATGGCCTAAATCTTCATTACAATATCTAGCCCTGTGTAATAGTGACTTAAAACCTGAAATGATTTTACAACTTAGCTTTACAATTATTTACTTACAGTGATCAGGTCAATGCCCTCTGGGCAGAGATGAGGTAAAACATTGGCCACAGACTGTATTGGCCATTTAGGGAAAGATGATTTAAAGTCTGGTAACTGGGTAACATTAGGCCAAACTGTCTCATCTGGGGTTCCTGAAAAAAATCAAAATCTTAATCATGAAAAGCTGAAAAACACATGTTATAAAACAAATTATTCAAAGGTAATATAACCTAAAATGCCTGTTCCTTTCAAAATAAAATTTTTCATATATTCATTTAAAGAGTAACCTGAAAATATAGAATCTTGTCAAACTGCATATATTTGCTACCAGGGCTTTATACAATGTTATCACAATAGATATTCATAAGAGTTAAACAAGTTATGTTTGTATGTATGTGTATGCCCCCTATCTGAAGTCAATTAGTCAAGTGATCAGGTTATTATGACTGACTTTTCACCTAGTGAACAAAAAATCAATATGGGTTATGGTCATGACTAGTCACAAGGTAATTATGACCTCAAAGGTTGTGCAGCTATTTTATGACAAAGTTATTACAAACCTTACCAAATAATATATGCATAAATTTTATGAATCATATAGGCCTTATTAATGACAGCCAAATTGTTATATTACATAAGACCTTCAAATGAGTATACCAAAAGTATTTTTAGTTTAATAAAAAATATCAACCAAGACAACTTGAGTTGGTTAGTTATTGGTCAGAAACTGTCTTTAAGCACAAGGTCAAAATGACATTAATCCCCCCGCCCCCGACTCCAAAATCAATAGGGGTCATCTTATGACCAAGACCAATGCACCTACAAAGTTTGAGGGCCAGCAGCTATGGGCTTGACAAGATATTGATTGGAAACCGTTTTTAATTACATAATGAAGATGACCTTGACCTTTGACCCCTTGAACCCAAAATCAATAGGGGTCATCTACTGGTCATGAGCAATCATCATAAGAAGTTTGAAGTTCCTAGGTCCAAGCGTTCTTTAGTTATTGGTCGGAAGCACTTTTTACCTACAAGGTCAATGTGACCTTGACCTTTGACCCCTTGAACCCAAAGTCAATAGGGGTCATCTACTGGACATGACCAATCATCATACCAAGTTTGAAGTTGCTAGGCCTAAGGGTTCTCAAGTTATCACTCGGAAACCATTTGGTCTATGGACCGACCGACAGACAGACAAATGCAAAGCAATATACCCCACTTCTTTGAAGTGGGGCACAATAATATGAAAATTGTATTACCAAGAGTTCTGAATATTCTGAAGAGCTGGTCAATTTCAGAATCTCCTGGGAAAAGAGGCTTCTTTTTTATCTACAAATACAAATATATAAAGTTATCAACACATATCAACATTTAAATCTCAAATGGTCACTAAAATTTTAAATGATTTTATAACTCAGCTAGGAATGCGTAATATGTAAAATCATCAATTCAGAGAGGGTATTACTAGTTATACAAAGTTTACACATTTCACTATATTTATAACAAGACATGCAGCAAGTACAAAATTATACATGTACTCACTAGATGAGAGTCAATCTTAGTTTAAGTCAATTGTAGGTTATAATACTGATTCCTTTTAAACTACTACACTAAGGTCAATTGAATATTCATAATGTTAAGCTAAATCTATCTAATTTTTTTTTCATTACAAATTCATGTGTTTTTATCAGTTCAAGTTATGTCAATAACTATAATGTTAGCTATATAATGACAACAAAACGCATTCTATGTCTACTTTATAAACATATAACTCTATATATAATCAATTCTAATACATCTAAACTTTAATAATTCAGACCAACTATGATCATGTAATGTTCTTCCAAGATAGACACAAGGTTTGATAACTTTACATGTAATATATGTTACAAGCATGGCAATATATCAAAATCATATCATGCTTACCATTTCTGCAAAAATACACCCAAGGCTCCATATGTCCACTGGGGTGGAATAAAACTTACTACCAAGCAAGATCTCTGGAGCTCTGTACCATAATGTAACTACCTGTAAACATAAGAGAAATAAAACAGATGCAGATACACATGGTCAATATTTGTGCCGTTATTTCAAAATCCGTTGACAGATGAAAAAGTTAGGGACCAGACATGAAATATTGCTTCCATAAGCAGTGTTATTTTTCACTTTTGGGGGAAGGGGGTCGGTGCCCTTTGGAGGGGGCAAAATGCAATAAAGGAGGGGGAATTTTATTTGTTTACTTATTTTATATTGTTTTCTTGGCGGTGGAAAAGGGGAGCAACTCTTGCAACACAAGTTTAAAATACGTCTTTTTTTCTTAATATACGGATCTAAAATTTGATGCGTCGTATGTTAAACTTGTTGGGACGCCGGAAGTAGCTCCACTTACCTAAACAACCTTGCTTAACAGTAACTCTTACAGGCATTAATAAAACATTTTTCAGCAGTTAGTTGCAAAAAAAAAAGAAAGATATTTATTGCAGGCAGATTCAGGCTGCCATATAGGGGGAAATTTAGGCTTTGAGGGTGGAAAAAAACATAAGGGGGGAATGGGGCCGAATTGCGCTGTATATTTTGGTGGAAAAAAAACACTGATCAGACAATGTTGACCTTTGATCTCCAAGTTTCACCTTGAGCTTGGAGGTAGGCTCTGGGTTTGCACATTATTAATCATCTTATTATGGTGAACATTTATGCTAACATATCAAAATCCCTTGATGAATATCGGAGTTACAGACCAGATACAAAGTGTGACAGAGCACACCTTTTACTTACAAAAAGCAGGGAAACAAAAGAAAATATGAAGATTTTGAAAAACAGGATAGAAGCATACCTCATGTGTGTATGTACGAACTGGTACCCCAAAAGCTCTGGCTAGACCAAAATCTGCTAGCTTGATATTTCCTTGCACATCTATTAGAAGATTCTGTGGTTTTATATCTCTATGTAAAACACGGTGACCATGGCAATAAGCGATTCCCAGCAACAGCTGGTGTAAGTAACTCTGTAAAAAAAATTTATATAACATTAATTAAAGTTTCTTTTAACTTACAAAATAAGTAGTCCAAAATTAAGATTATTTCTTTTTCTGTATCTATAGGAACAAGATCATTGGCCCCAATACACTCATGGACACCTGTGGCCATAATGGTATATCATTCCGTCTTGTTAAAAATTGTTTATAAAAGTACGTAAAGTGAAAACCTATAGCTTCCTGAATGGGCCTATTTTGACCTTAGAACAATAATTTGAACAATCTTAGTAGAGCCTAACTGGATAGTTTCATGGCAAATATCTAAGCTTTAGCCTATGGACTGGACTTGTTTCAGCGAAGCAGATTTATGACAGTTTTACTGTATACATATAAGAAAATCTATGTTCCCTATGTGGGCAGTGCATTTTGACAACAGAAATTCAACAATTTTGGCAGAGGTCCACAGATGAAGTTTCATGTCAAATAACTAAGCTCTAGCCCCTGGGCTTTCTTAAAAGATTTTTTGAAGGATTCACTATACATTATAAGGAAAAACTCATAAGTTTTATTTAATGTTTCATGTTAAATATCTAGCTCTACAACTTTAGGCTTCAGAAAGGATGTTGTTGTTTTTTTTTTTACTAGTTATAATACAGTGTGATTTTCGAATTCCAGAACTTCAAACAAGAGGGCCATGATGGCCCTGAGGTCGCTCACCTGTATATAGGCCCCCCCAACCCCCAACGTTGCAGGGCCAATTTAACCCAAGGGCTTTTATTTGCACAAACTTTGTAGACACCCATAAGAAGATGTTTCATGCTAAACATCTAAGCTCTAGCTCATTGGGCTTTTTAAAAGAAGATTTTTTTAAAGTTTTTACTATACACATATAGTTAAAAACAATGACACCCCTTGGGCCGGGCCAGTTTTGACCCCAGGGCTTTTATTTGAACAAACTTTGTAGACACTTACTAGAAGATGTTTCATACTTAATATCTAAACTCCAGCTATTTGGGTTTTTTCAAAGAAGATTTTTTAAGTTTTTGCTTTACACATATAAGGAAAATCAATGACCCCCGGGGCGGTGCCAATTTTGACCCCAGGTCTTTTATTTGAACAAACTTTGTAGACACTCACTAAAAGATGTTTCATGCTTAATATCTTAACTCTAGCTATTTGGGTTTTTTCAAAGAAGATTTTTTAAGTTTTTGCTATACACATATAAGGAAAATCAATGACCCCCGGGGCGGTGCCAATTTTGACCCCAGGGCTTTTATTTGAACAAACTTGGTAGACACCTATTAGAACATGTTTGATGCTAAATATCTTAGCCATAGCTCTTTGAGTTCTTTAAAAGAAGATTTTTTAAGTTTTTACTATATGCATATAGGGAAAATCAATGACCCCCGGGGCGGGGCCAATTTTGACCCCAGGGCTTTTATTTGAACAAACTTGGTAGACACTTATTAGAACATGTTTCATGCTAAATATCTTAGCTCTAACTCTTTTGGTTCTTTAAAAGAAGATTTCTTAAGTTTTTACTATATGCATATAGGGAAAATCAATGACCCCCTGGGGCGGGGCCAATTTTGACCCCTGGGCTTTTATTTGAACAAACTTGGTAGACACCTATTAGAACATGTTTGATGCTCAATATCTTAGCCATAGCTCTTTGAGTTCTTTAAAAGAAGATTTTTTAAGTTTTTACTATATGCATATAGGGAAAATCAATGACCCCCTGGGGCAGGGCCAATTTGACCCCAGGGCTTTTATTTGAACAAACTTGGTAGACACCCATTAGAACATGTTTCATGCTAAATATCTTAGCTCTAGCTCTTTGGGTTCTTTAAAAGAAGATTTTTTAAGTTTTTACTATATGCATATAGGGAAAATCAATGACCCCCCGGGGTGGGCCAATTTTGACCCCAGGGCTTTTATTTGAACAAACTTGGTAGACACTCACTAGAAGATGTTTCATGCCAAATATCTAAGCTCTAGCTCTTATGGTTTTTTAAAAGAAGATATTTAAAGTTTTTTCTTTCGGTTGCCATGGCAACCAGAGTTCTGCATTGAATTCAATTCTTTGAACAATTTTTAAAGGTGACCACCAAAGGAACATTCCTGTGAAGTTTGGATGAAATTGGCTTAGTGGTTTATGAGGAGATGTCATTTAAAGTAAAAGTTTACGGACGGACGACGGACGGACGAAAAGCGATCACAAAAGCTCACCCTGTCACTTTGTGACAGGTGAGCTAAAAAATCTGGAAACCGAATATTTTTCAAAGTACCGAAATTTTTCCTTCTGTTTTCTATGTAATAAATATGAAAATTTTTCTAATAAAATTTGGGTTATATCAATTCAAATTTACTTTCAAAATCTGTACATTAAAAAAGTTGTAAAGGTATATTATAAATGAGATTGTAAAAACTTCAGTATCTGTCAGTATCTTTCAATAAGCAGAAACCAATTATCTTGACAATATTAAAAGCCAACTATCAAAGCTCTAGGCATTGCAGATTCATAAAAGAAGACTAAATTGTATTGTCCTATATAAGCCCATGTGAACTAAGTGACCCCTAGGGCAGGGTCATTTTTAACCCAAGGGACATGATTCATATAACTTATGTAGAGGACATCAAGGTGATGCTACATGCCAAATACGTAAGTGCTAGGAGCGGAAGATTTTTCAGATCTAATTTTTAGCTCCTGTGACCTACATGTACTAATGTATTAGACCTAAAAGTTTAGTCAAAATCCATCCAGTGGTAAAGGAGATGTTGTTTAAAGAAATTGTGGAAAACAACATATGACAGACACATTGCCATCACAAGAACTCATCTCTGAGCACACTTTGTCCTCAGGTGAGCTAAAATAAACTGTTGCAATAAATTAAATTGTCACAAAATATCGCTTGCAACACCCACCCTACCTTTATTAGAGTTTCTCCTAACCCAGTAGGGCAACTATCTATGTATTTCTTAAGGTCCTGGTGTAGATACTCAAATACCAAATACAGCTTCTTCTCACTGTGCACTACATCCAGCAACCTGTGAATATTTAATAAACACATGTACACTTTTGGTTGGTTGGATTTTAAGTCACACATTAATATTTTAATGTTGTACAGTTAATCCTATATATTTTATAATTTGAAGTAATTCACAGGTGTATCTTTAATTTTCAAAAAATAAACAGAGAGATCCTTGTAGAAGCACTTACCTAACAATATTGACATGGTCCAATTCTTTTAGAAGTGATATTTCACGAATAGCGGTACTTGGGACACCTTCAGAATCACTGAAATGTACAAATATTTCAATAAATCCTATTTGGGTCTGGTTTCCATTAGATCTACAGTGGGTGGACCAACGCTCGGCGTAAAATTACTATATTTGATATGACAAATTCAAATCAACGTCAACAAAGCTCAATGTTATATGTCCATTTTCAAGACCGATTATATTGTTTTAAATAGCCATTGTGTAAAATTTGCTAATCACATTATGACATACATGGCGGAGGCTAAAGATAGTCCAGATAAACAAGTGCGGTTTGCGTGAAATTGTACCATAGCTCGGCGTACAGTACTACATGATGCAGGTTTGTTTTTCGAATAAAATCTTTTTTTTTATCTTATGAAGAAAACATATTGAATAAATTGTAACAACCAAATTATGTTCATACATTTACAAGTACCCAACTTTTAGTTTAAATTTTACAGCCCCAGAACTCTAGTGTTAAAAGATTTTAATAATTTATATGTTGCTGATTACATATGGTCGTTCGTCTGCTATAAGCATTGTCATGTGACTTCACCAGCAGTGAACCGCACCAGGATAAAATGGTGAAAGCACCAGTGACCTAAATCGGAAATAACTCGAGACATTTTCAGACATTCTACAGAATTATTTTTTTTAAGCCAAGCATTGGTATGCGCCGAGCATTGGTCCAACCACTCTACTGATTATTGGTCGATATAGTGTATCACAGATCTGTGACTTGATTAGAATGATCTGGAAAATAGTTTAAAATATACAAAAGGCTTGATAATTTATTGGTTGAATAATCATTTGTAAAACTATGTTTCCTTTCAAGTCTTTTTGGTTAGCATTGGAAAACGACGTGTTATTTGGTCACAGTTAGTTCGCGAAAACTAGTGATAATCGATCAATATCAATCCCTTTTGTCTTAAACTTACTGCTGCAAAATGCAAATACTATATAATGAGTTATACCTAAAACAACGCAAATTAGTAACAAGTTTGTACATAATTTGTGAATAATCGAAATTTGTTTAATGAAAATCTTACGCATCCAAGCGGATTTTTTTCAATGCAACCAGTCGTCCGCTTAACTTATCTCGGGCCTTGTACACAACGCCGTATGTTCCTTCACCAATTTTTTCTATCTTTTGGAAGTTTTCCATTGTTTCAACGTTTAATTAGTTATAAAACTGCATTATCTAAAAGTCTTCTGCTTCTTTGTTTACAATTCTCCGGCTCGCAGACTTTCCCGCGTAAATTCTGTTTACATCGGATTTGATTGGATGTTCCCATACGCAGTAATGTGCAGCGAAAGTAAAAAAAAAGTGCGTAATGCGGTAAAGTAGACCTATATGAGATAATCAGAGATATAAATATGGTGCATCTTCTCACTTCCCCTCGGAGCGTGCACGTCGCTGAGAAGGCACAGGGCATCGGCAAAAGATTTACAGCTTGGCTAGTAGACAACTTAAACTGAAGCCTCCGTGGGCGTTAAGAACCACTACTTCGTCAACAAAGTTCTGCGGACCAGCTGCCGGCGCAGTCTAAAACGCGGACGCCTTAAGCGGACAATATAAACATATAGGGAAAACGCTGACGATATAGACAAAGAGGAAAAAAGCGGACGATATAGATATACAGTAAAAACCCGCTTTACGACCACCCCGTTTTCGAGACCAACCCGCTAATACGAACGATTTTTTAAAGACCCGAATTTTTTATTCTTTATTTTAATGGTCGCTAACCCCGATTTTGAGACCACCCCGTTATTCCGTAATACGACCAGTAAATTCAGTCCCATTTCGTAAATTCTGTACATTTGGAAACCCATAAATACGACCGCAGGCACTTTCTCACCTTGATATTGACAGGCATGTATATTGCTGAAATCTTTTTGACACGTGATGTAAACAACAGTTGTCCTAGTTTTACGACATTTAACGACATCCAATTTACGGCAGAGGTCAAGCCGTAAATGATCAATAATATTGTCGATAATTTCTTAATTTCACACCTTTAATGTCATAACTGGAGGATTAAAACAACAAAATATTGAACAGAAAACTTTCAATAAGTTTTTTTAAAGGTGTTGCTGCTATCATTATCTCTTTCGTTCCATAATTTTAAACAAACATAAACATGATACGATTAGGTTTTTGAAGTTGTTTATCGGCAATGAAAACTGTGAAAATAATTAAAGGTAATTGTTCGGTGTACTTTGTAGTAAAATGGTGATTTAATTGAGTTAGTCATGTCATTCTTTTAACAAGAATGTAAAAATATGTTTGTGTTTAAAGACATTCATAATTCATTTTGTACCTCTAAAGAGGTTTAAAAATTTTATTATGTTAAAAAGTAAAAGAAAATAAAAAAATAATAGTGTATGCTTTATATCTTCTCATTTGAAATAGGTTAGCCCAGAATTAAACATGTGTACAGTACATGGTATCCCTTAATATAATTGCCTGGTTTTCTGTTTGACCAAACTCATTAATGAGACCAACCCGCTATTAAGACCAGATTTGAAAAGTCCCTTCATTGGTCTCATTAGCGAGTTTTTACTGTATAGTGTAAAATGACTGAGCATAGTTAAATTCATAATAAAGGCTAATAATTGGCTTTTATAAAGTAATATCTGAAAGGTGTAATTATTATAATAATTAAAAAAGACTTTAGTTTATTTATTTGTTCAAATTAATCAATGATAGATAATCTATTCCCCATTGTAATCTTTATCAACCTGAATTAGATATGAATTTTCTTGAACAATCATGTTATGTTCTACCAGACAATAAAACAGTAAGAAATGTATAAATTATATATTTATGTATATACTGATTCCATTTTTTTATTTAAATAAAGTGTCCACGTGTCACTTGTATATTTGATATAATCCTGCACGTGTTTAATTTCATCATACACATGATACTTTATACCATATTTCATTCAAGTCGAAATAGAAAACGCGGACAATATAGACATATAGTGGAAATGCGGACGATATCGATATAGAGGGAAAACGCTGACAAAATAAATGTATAGAACGGGAGAATAGAAACTGTTATGAATAAAAAAATATCTGGCTTCTACCATGTCGACTTAATCACGCACCGACACTTGTATATTTCAAGTAATCATACATCTCACCCTTGTACAATTAATAAAGTGGCTACAGAAAATGCGGACAATATAGACATATAGTGAAAAAAAGCGGACGATATAGATATAGAAGGAAAACGCTGACGAAATAATGTATAAAAACGGGAGAATAGAAAAACTGTTATAAATAAAAATATATCTGGCTTCTACCGTGTATATAATTAATTTATATCAATTAACTTTCTTTAATTCATAATATTTTTTAGTTTTATTTATATTTTATCCATCAAGTAAAGAAAAGAAACTTTCTGCTATAAATACCAATCAACTAATTAAAGTATCCACGTGTCACCTGTGTATTTGACTTAATCACGCACCAACACTTGTATATTTCAAGTAATCACACATTTCAACCTTGTACAATTAATAGAGTGGCTACAGAAAATGCAGACAATATAGACATATAGTTTGAAAAAGCGGACGATATAGATATAGAAGGAAAACGCTGACGAAATAAATGTATAAAACGGGAGAATAGAAAACTGTTATATAAAATAAATAATATATCTGGCTTCTACCATGTATATAATTAATTTATATCAATTAACTTTCTTTAATTCATAATATTTTTTTAGTTTTATTTATATTTTATCCATTAAGTAAATAAAAGAAACTTTCTGCTATAAAATACCAATCAACTAATTAAAGTATCCACGTGTCACCTGTGTATTTGACTTAATCACGCACCAACACTTGTATATTTCAAGTAATCACACATCTCACCCTTGTACAATTAATAAAGTGGCTACAGAAAATGCGGACAATATAGACATATAGTGAAAAAGCGGACGATATAGATATAGAAGGAAAACGCTGACGAAATAAATGTATAAAACGGGAGAAATAGAAAACTGTTATAAATAAAAATATATCTGGCTTCTACCATGTATATAATTAATTTATATCAATTAACTTTCTTTAATTCATAATATTTTTTAGTTTTATTTACATTTTATCCATTAAGTAAATAAAAGAAACTTTCTGCTATAAATACCAATCAACTAATTAAAGTATCCACGTGTCACCTGTGTATTTGACTTAATCACGCACCGACACTTGTATATTTCAAGTAATCACACATTTCACCCTTGTACAATTAAAAGAGTGGCTACAGAAAATGCGGACAATATAGACATATAGTGAAAAAGCGGACGATATAGATATAGAAGGAAAACGCTGACGAAATAAATGTATAAAACGGGAGAATAGAAAACTGTTATATAAATAAAAAAATATCTGGCTTCTACCATGTATATAATTAATTTATATCAATTAACTTTCTTTAATTCATAATATTTTTAAGTTTTATTTACATTTTATCCATTAAGTAAATAAAAGAAACTTTCTGCTATAAATACCAATCAACTAATTAAAGTATCCACGTGTCACCTGTGTATTTGACTTAATCACGCACCAACACTTGTATATTTCAAGTAATCACACATCTCACCCTTGTACAATTAATAAAGTGGCTACAGAAAATGCGGACAATATAGACATATAGTGAAAAAGCGGACGATATAGATATAGAAGGAAACGCTGACGAAAATAAATGTATAAAACGGGAGAATAGAAAACTGTTAAATAAATAAAAAATATCTGGCTTCTACCATGTATATAATTAATTTATATCAATTAACTTTCTTTAATTCATAATATTTTTTAGTTTTATTTACATTTTATCCATTAAGTAAATAAAAGAAACTTTCTGCTATAAATACCAATCAACTAATTAAAGTATCCACGTGTCACCTGTGTATTTGACTTAATCACGCACCAACACTTGTATATTTCAAGTAATTACACATCTCACAATTAATAGAGTGGCTACAGAAAATGCGGACAATATAGACATATAGTGAAAAAGCGGACGATATAGATATAGAAGGAAAACGCTGACGAAATAAATGTATAAAACGGGAGAATAGAAAACTGTTATATAAATAAAAAATATATGGCTTCTACCATGTATATAATTAATTTATATCAATTAACTTTCTTTAATTCATAATATTTTTTAGTTTTATTTATATTTTATCCATTAATCTGAATATACCTTCCAGAAATTTTTAACAAGGTAACTTTTTTACACGAATGCCGTTAAAACAAAGTCAATTTTAACAGTAATTGACTCATTACAAGGCACATTATATATATCTTTAACTTTCAAGTTAGATAATTTTAACTTCTTTTCATCATTTATTACTCTATTAATCTTAACTTTACATGGGAGCAATCCTTCGTATCTTCGTGAATAATTTATGCACTTACAGATTTTAGCACTAATTTTTCAAATGCCTATCAGGAATGCGCTGAAGCTCATACAAACACGCTTATGCAATGGAAAACAAAAATATCCATGGTTACAATTTTTATATGTTGAGTGCATTGAAATGAAAATATCAACTATTCAACTTACATATATGTACTTGCTGCGGGAGGGCTTTTGTCCGCCCTATTATTTTCACGGGAGGGCTTTTGTCCGCCAAGTCATTTTTACGGGAGGGCTTTTGTCCGCCCTGTTATTTTCACGGGAGGGCTTCATCCTTATTTTTTTTTAATGTGGTCAATTTAGTATCATTCGTAATTTGAAAAAAAAAATATTATCTTATTTGCCATTAAGTTTTACGTATATGAATATATTATTTTATTATACAGCATTTCTATAAAGTTCATCGATTCCCACCTCATCATCAATAAGTCTACTCTAAATTTCATTATCGTCCGCTTTTTTCCTCTATATCTATATCGTCAGCGTTTTCCCTATATATCTATATTGTCCGCAAAAATGCGTATCATGTTATCTCTAGCTAAGTGCCGACACGATTAATCAGTAGCGTGTTGTTCACACTTATATAATTACCGTTAATTTGCAGCACGCTTCTGCTTATATTGTATCAATAAAAACAACATCCTGTCATTACTTATTTATATCAATAATTTATGATTAAAAATTACTCTTACAAACTTTTGATTTTGAAAAATCAAGGCTTTCTTTATTTTGCGAACAAAAATTTTGTCCGCCTACTGCACATAATGACAGACAAAAAAAATGCCAAAATGAAATACATATCCTTAATTACATATCAGCTGTTGCCAATTTAATAGTACCATCATTGT